GAGGGGAGTACCATTCAGCCCACTGCAGGGTTCCTGTGGTCTTACTCAGCAGGGCACATATCACCTAGTGGTACCATTTTCTCTTCTGGTTACACTTCAGTCAACTGCTCCTACAGATGTGTCTCTCTTTCTGAGGTTCACACCTTCCAAATTTGGTTAGTATTAATCCAACCCTTTAGTGATTCAGTAACAGAAAAACCAACAGAAACCTAATTTTATTTATAAAGATTAATATAAGTTTACTTTGCCTAATAAATAAAAAGGACCTTTGGTAGCATAGTGCCTAAGGCATTTGACTGTTAACCACAAGGCTGGTGGTTCAAACCCACCAGCCACTTCTTGGAAGGAAGTTTGGGTGATCTATTCCATAGTGATACCGTCTTAGAAACCCAAGGAGGGGTTGCTATGAGTTGGATCAGACTCCACGGCAGTGAGTTTGGATTTTTTTAATAAATAAAAACAATGACAACAAAAGACAGAAGTAGGGAGATCACACTGGAAGCAGTGTAAAAGAGGGACAGGGTAGAAATGGAGATTAGGGAGGCCAGTATAGCAGCTATTCCAATATTGACCAGGGCCTGACCAATAGCAGTTCTCCTGGATTTGGAGAGAGAACAGGCAGGTCTGTGAAGAATTTAGGATTTAGAATTGGCAAGTTAAATGATTTATTAGATGTGAGAAGAAAGAAAAAGGGAAAAAAGATCCATTAAGCTCTTACCTGCGCCATATAGAGCCCTTGGGTGGTGGACCTAGTTACTGCTGTCAGATGCTGACTGACCAACAGGTTGGAAGTTTGAGTCCATCCAGAGGTGCCACAGGAGAAAAGCCTGGTGATCTACTTACAATCAGCCAGTGAAACCCTATGGAACTTAAGTCTGCCTTGACACACATAGGGTCGCCATTGGAAGGTTTATTTGGGATGGTCTGACAAAAAATACAGGCTATGTGGCAACCCTAAAATTTTTGTTCCAGGGCACCTAACAACAACATGGCCTCAGGGAGAACCTCAATGTGATGACAACTGGCTTTTGTGCTAGGTACTGAGGGAGGCTCTTCACAAATAGAAGCATATTTAATCAGCCCATAGGTCTAAAAGGCAGATTTTATACTCATTTTATAGATTAGGAAACAATTTAAGTAGGAAATTAGATAGGATTTGCTGCTATTTCTCCATAAGGGCTGGGTCTAGCTGTTTGCAGTGAATGTGGGCAAGTTTTTTTTTTTCCTAATTAATTAATTAATTAAATTATTATTATTATTTTATTATGATTTGGGTGAAAGTTTACAGAGAAAATTCACTTTCCATACAGCAGTTCACATACACTGTCTCATGACATTGACCACAGTTCACCACAATGCAACAGCTCCTCTCCTTCCTCCCCATAGTTACCTCTTCCCTGTGTCCATTCCTCCATGCACTCTTGCCCCCTGAGCTGTCTCCCTGTGCATAAGCAGCCCTTCTTTCTCCCATGATTGTTCTCTCCAAGGAGTGTATCTACCTCAGGGAAATGCTTGTCTTTTGTTTGGCTGGAAGTCACAGGTGTGGGTTCAATTCCAGACCTGAAGGACAGCCAGGGGCCATAGTCTCAGTGGTTCCATCAGGCTCTATCAGACCAGCAAACCTGGTCCCCCCTGCCGGCGTTTTTTTTCCCCCAAAATGATTTTGAGTTTTGTTGGACATTGCTCTCCCTCTCTATCCAGGATCTCATACATCTCCCTAGTTGTTGACAGTGGTAGTCAAGCACCATCTAGTTCTTCTGGTCTCATGGTCATATAGGCTGTGGATCGCATGGTGTACCAGTCGCTAGAACTAATTGTTTCCATGTGTCTTTGGTTTTCTTCATTCTTCTTTGCTCTGGATGAGGAGAGACCCATTGTTGCATCTAGATGGCTGCTTGCAAGCTTTTAAGATACCAGTCTCGA